CCGGAAACTCCCATGTGTGTAGTCCTACAGAGTAAGATAATATTCTCCTTTGGGCAATAGTACTGGGTAGGTCCCTGGGATATTTAAGATTTTCCCTAATGGCTTTAATAAGGGACCCTGTATATTAATATTTTTCAATGGGTTTTAGAGGCCAACCCAGTTAAGGACCTTTATATTAAGATCCCTATCATAACCCCCCGTAAGCGGAGGGGTTTGATTAATCAGGGGTCTGGGTTAACCTGCAAGTCCCTCCCAACCAGTGGCTGGGTTCAAAAAAGCGTCAATCATCACTTCCCGCGCCTTGACAGATGCCGGACAGTCGGAATGCATCACAAAGGCTTAGGGTGTGGGGTGGGAGGGGGGTGGACTTCCTAAATTACAGGCCTGTGCCAATCCACCCAGTTTTTTGGACGCTTATGCTACCTTTTAGGGGGAATGCTAACACTTGAGAGCGCATAATAGGGTATATAGTCATATAGTAGGTTAATAGGGGCCCATGGTTTCGACCTTAGACACCAACTTCTGTAGCAGTGTAAACTCTGAAGCCTTCAATCCAGCGCAAAAGATTGGTCAGTCGATCGGGCTCACTACAGTAGCAGTTCTGTATCTGCTACAATTGCGAGTCCTCCAAGATTGTAAAGCAACAACGAAAAGTTAAAATGGATTCCAATTCGTACTTATGGACAGCTACCCGAACGGCAAACAAAATCTGGATGTTTCGGGGAGCTTACACCTCATTACTGTAGAAGCCTGAATTGAGGCTTAGGCGGATGTAGCCCGTGGCCCCAACAGTGGAGAATCAAATGGAAAAGAGAAGCAACATGGAGTGGAAACTGCGGTTACATGAGACTTTTACCGGGATTGTTTATTCATGTTAAGGTCACACAAGTTCCCTGTGTAGTTCTGCTACAGGGCACCTCAAATAAACATCAGAAGGATGTGGGTAGTTATTCAGGCCCTTGGTATCTACAGGGTTCAGGGTTTAGGGGTTTAGGGTTATATCATGAAGCCCCAATGTCCGTGCCGACATAGAGCCGACGCATGCTCCTAAGAGCCCAATGCCAGGATACGGCACAGTACCAGACCCTGAAGCGGATTCAGAAGACCTTCCTGGTGCGCTGTAATGTGCCCATCTCAGTCAGGGCCCGGTATGGGTTTTAAGGTTTAGGGTTTAGGGGGTTCAGAAAAGAGAAGCTTGATTCCTATGCATGTTGGCGACCGACTTTGCTGTAACGAAAGGCCCATGCCTGCCGTGTTTCCTGATGCTCAGGCTGTAGGTGCCTAGAGGCCTAGAGTCTAGAAGTCAGCATTTAGCGAGGGCGTGAAGTTCGCGGGGAAGTACAGCTAGCTATAGCAGGGCTGGTATTTGTGTTGCCTGTATCTCTTCGCCGCCTGCCTCTTGAAGTCTTCGGTTTCTAGCCTGGAATGCAGGAATGGATCCTCACAGTAGCCCCTGCGTGTCCCACAGAATATGGCAGTTCCTTTTTTCAACTCCCTTTTCCCCTATTCACGACTTGCAGGCCTGAAAAGCAAGAGAAAGGTTTCCCAGTAACGGCACCCCAGAGCACTTGGGGGCTGAGGCCATTCTTTTACACGGAAACATGGCAGTTCTTTTCAACACAACTCTGATTGATTCTGCAGAGGGACCCGGAGTGTAGTCCCTACATATACCCCTGAGGCTTGTAGGGTCCTCGCATTTTGAGAAGAGAAGCAAGACCTTTCGCTGACAGCAACATCTGCACACAAGCAAACCTAAGCCCATTTGCCAGGAGTCTCTCACGAAGATCATTCCCGGAAACGGGGTTCGGCCTGCTAGCCAAATCAGGCGGGTGGTTGGCTTGTAATTGGGGCAATTGGATGGAGAAGCACCTCAGCTTAGAAGAAAGCAAGGGGTCAGCGTAAAGCACAAACACGCAAGCTCGCAAAGAAGGAGCGGGAGTTTCTCAAGTCTGTAAGGGGACCCCGGTCATCTGCTCTTCTTTGTTGGCGCCATGTATCCCTAGAGTCCTATGAGTCCTTCAGGGTACCATAATTTCGCAAGCCCTTGCATTGTTGCAACTTTTCCTCGGGTGAGGTTGAGCTTTGTTTAGGTCGTACATCCAGGCCTACAGCAGCTTGTTGAGAAGCCGGTCGGGGGGTCATACCAATGCAAGAAAGATACTGGTTGGCATTAACGCGGTAATTGGAATACCGCTTTAAATTGTATGAACCTCAACTAAGGTACGCTGAAACAGAAACCATGGACATGTCGAAGCGCAAGCATTGCAGAACGGTTTGTGGACACATATTCTCGTAGACGAGAGTCGACTGCTTGAGGCGGCTGGAGAAGCAGCTGAAGTGGCGACCTCAACACTTCTGCATTCCGTTTTCTTCCAGGATAACTACGGACACTATGGCCCTGCAGCCCTGAAAGCTGCAAGACTCGGAAGGTATTGATTCTTTCTACATCCCTCACCCTCATCTTGTTGTGATTTGTACTCTTGCTTCGATTGTTACACCTAGACTTGTTCCACCAAGGAATTAGAAGAGGTTCGATGAAAACAGCCGCCGGTGGCAAAGGGGCATTCCTTTTGAAGATGATTCCCACCTATCACGTCGACCCCCAGGACAGCAGGGAAGCTGAGAGCAACCTAACTTGTAGCAGCAACAGAAATCCTCGAAGGACCCTGCACTGCCCTCATGACAAACCCATGTGAATATGCAGCAAGACGCATGGAAGGTGCAGCATGAGGAGTACCAGCAGAAACTGCACACAGTCCCTGGTTATGCAGCAGAAGAATAACAGGCTGGAAGCCAGATGCTGTGAAGGTTTGCAGAAGCAATGCACCCTCATCCGAATAACCACGTCATTCAGTCCTTGCCACGTCTTCACAGATCACCAAATAACCA